TTCCGACCACGCGGACGGGACCATCATGAGCAGCGCGGTCGGGAAGGCCATCGGTTGCATGAAGAAGGACCTGGACTCGTTGGCCAAGGCATTTCCACACTTAAAGAGGATGGGCAGAGGAGGGAGGAGGAGGAAGAGGAGGAGGAGGAGGAGGAGGATAAATAGGAGGAGGAGGAGGAGGAGGAGGAGGAGGAGGAGGGGGAGGCGGGGAGGATGAGGAGGAGGAGGAGGAGGAGGCGACAAGAGACTGGAGGGCTAGGAGGAGGAGGAGGAGGAAGATGAGGAAGACGTGTTTTGATTACTAGCTGGACTTTCCCCAGCGTGTTACACCGTCCTTCAACCCAGCCTGGGTCCAATATCCAAACGTTCATTTAGTTTATCCCTCTCCCTTGCTGCTTGCATCCACCCCTCTGTCCGCTCGGCTTCTGACGCTGCCTGCCGCGCAGGCTTTGACCCTCTGGAAGAACGAGGCGTCCAAGTACGGGATGCCCCTCAACAGCGAGGAGGGTGAGTACAAGGACGCGGTGGACCAGCTACAGGCTGGTTGGCTCACTGTGGTCACAGGCTCTCTGTTTGCGGCCTTTAAGAAGGCCGAGAGCAAGCAGTCGTTGCGTGCCATCTGTGTTAAGTTGATGGGCCAGCTCAAAGAGCAATCGGTCCTGCCAGAGAGGCTGCCGCCGGCGCTGGTGCAGCGCGTCAACCAGGCGATGCAGCTAAAAAATCAAGTGCAATAAATATGTAGGGAGGCCTCAGCTCGAAATCGATCGACGATCGACCCAACGATATGCGACATGACACGTCACACGAGATACGCGATTCGACGCACAGGGCACAGGCCTTCCTCGTTTTAGCTAGGTCAGCTCGCTACGAAACGCGAGCCTCACAGGAGGCAGATGCTGGCGCCGACGTTCGCATGTGGTGTCGGACTGAGCTCAGTCTGAGAAGGCAACAGTCGCTGGCGTGCTGCGCTCCAGAACAAACAACAAAATAAAGTTAAACGAGGATGTGGCGAGGAGGAGGAGGAGAGGGGCGAGTGAGGCGAGACGGCTCCTCCTCCTCCTCCCTCTCCTTCCTCCTCCTCCTCCTCCTCCTCCTCCTCCTTCACCTCCTCCTCCCTCCTCCTCCTCCTCCTCCTCCTCCTCCTCCTCCTCCTCCTCCTCCTTCTCCTCCCCCCTCCTCCTCCTCCTCCTCCTTCTCATCCTCCTCCGCCTCCTCCTCCTCCTCCTCACCTCCTCCTCCTCCTCCTCCTCCTGGTCCTCGCGTTCGGCTCCGCGCCCTCCTCCGTATTAGTGTTACCCCCATCGCCCCTCAGATCATATCCTCCACCAAATCTTCCAGCAGGGGTTCGCATGGACCGCCAGGGCTCGAAAGGAGAGCGCGCGATCCTTACCCCCCCTCTCCCCCCGCCTTCGCCGCCGTCCGCCCCCCCGTCTCCGCCAGTTTCGGAGGTGCGGCTGAAGGGGCAGGGCGAAGGGGGAGAGAGGGGAGAGAGGGGGGGGGAAAGGGGGGGGAGGGGGCACCCCTGCCGCGCCGCCGCCCCCGCCCGTCGGCGTGCTGGCGGCGGTTGGTGGCCGTGGGAGCGGCCAGGCGCCGCGAGCGGGGCACGCTGCTGGGAGGGCTCTCTCCCCTTTCTTGCTTAGTCCTCCCCCGCTGCCCCTCTTCCCTGCACCACCTCCCTTCCTCCTCCCTTCCCCTGCCCTTCCTCCCCCCTTCCCTCTGCCCCTGCCCCTGCCCTTCCCTGCCCCTGCTCCTGCCCCTTCCCCCCCCCCCTCCGCCCTTCCCCCTCTCCCCCTCCCTCCTCCTCCCTCCTCCCCGCCCCTCCTCCCTGCACCTGGTTGCCCCCCTCCCTCCCGCCCCCCCTTTTCCACCCGCCTTCCTGCGCACAATCCGTTCGCCACCCTGCGTTTTTGTCTGGCCCTCACCCTTCCCTTTCCGTTCCTCATCTCCCTCTCTAATACTCATCCCTCGTCCCCTCTTGCCCGTCCGCCTTCTGTTATCGCCCTCCTCGCCTTCCTTCGTCCCGCCCTCACACTTCCCCCTCGCAATTCCCCTTGCCCCCCCCCTTGCCGCTCCTCCTCTTCCCCCCCCCAGCCTTTTATCCCCCTATCAGTTGCCATTTTGGCTCAGCGCCATTTGGCCCAAACTCGCCCCGATTGTGGGTTTGAATGCGCGCGTTGCTGGTTAGTCTAGTCTCGTAATGTTCTGCACTCGGCGTCTATTCGTCGGTTCGCCGCGCGCTGATTCGGCGGCGCGCGGCAGGTGTGCGTCGCATCCTTTATCCCGTATGTGCGGGTGGGTGGGTTTACAGTTTTTGCTTGTGGCCTGACAGCTCCAAATCCTTTCGGATTGCCCACGCTGTTCTGGTTTCGCTACAGTCGCGCCGCGACACTTTCTTGAGACTCCTGGGCGTTGCGGCCCAGAGACTGTTTTGATACTGTCGACAACACTTTTCAGCAAATCCTCCAAAACCCTCCTGGAGAAGGCCACTGCTTTCATAACGCTCTGCGTGCGGGGCGCGGCCAGCAAGAGCGGCCAAGGATGGGCCGAAAGGGAAGGATGCAAGGGTAGCCTTGGGAAGTCGTTCATCCTTACTATGCGGGTTGACTGTGGTTGCGCTGTCTGGTAGGGTGGGCTCTCTGGTAGAGTAACTATATGGTACGGTAGATGCGAGCTGCCCGGTCGGGTAGCAGCGAGCCGTTTGGTAGTTGACGGTAGTTGCTTTGTCAATCGAAACATATGCAAACTGTCGGGTAGGGTGGGCTGTCTGGTAGGTCGTTAGACCCAGACTCCTACGCGAGCTGTCTGGTAGGGTCTGGTCGGGTGGGCTGTCAGTCCCTCGCCATCCCTGGGGGGCCTGAGAGCTGTGAAACTGTCGTCACTTTCGAGGGCTGCTGGAGGGCCAGCTCACCGTCGGCATACCCAGGCTCCTTCCCCTCCTCCTCCCTGTCCTCCTCCTCCTCCTCCTCCTCTTCCTCCTCCTCCTCCTCATCATCATCAGCATCAGCATCAGCATCAGCATCAGCATCATCATCATCACCAGCATCATCATCAGCAGCATCGTCATCATCATCATCATCATCATCAGCAGCAGCAGCAGCAGCATCATCATCAGCATCATCATCATCATCAGCATCATCAAAATCAGCATCAGCATCATCATCAGCATCATCATCCACATGCTCCTCCTTCTCCTCCTCCTCCTCCTCCTCCACCCCCTCCCCCTCCTCCTCCTCCTCCTCCTCCTCCTCCTCCTCACCCTCCTCCTCATCCTCCACTTCCTCCTCCATGTCCCTGTCCTTGTTCCTCCTCCTCCTCCTCCTCCTCCTCCTCCTCCTCCTCCTCCTCCTCCTCCTCCTCCTCCTCCTCAGGGTGCCACGTTTACGCTTCAGGGTGCGTTATCGTTTCGCCAGAAGGGGGGGGCGGGTTTCTCTGTCGCTCCCATGGGTCAATTACTCCTGGAAGTCTTTGCGGCTGGCCATCAACAGCCGCGCAAAACCGCGCGGCGCGGCGGAAGGAGCCGTCGGTGCCCTGAGCGGAGGATGTAGAACGGCATATACATAAACTTTCGACTGTCCGCGCGGACCCCGGCGCCAGAGGCGCCGCCAGGGGGAGCACCAGCGCCCATCCAAGAAACCCGCGCGGACCGTACAAAGTTTATGATGCCCATGCCGCTTTCTCGTCTTCGACCGAGGGGGACGAGGACGCGAAGGCGGCGCGGCGACAGGCCGCGGCCCCACCGCGCACCCGGGCCTCTCCGCTGGCCTTCCGCGAGCCTCCGCCGGCAAGAGGCCCCACTCTGCGCCCGCCATCCGCGTCGGCCTGCCGCTGGGGAGGCGAAAGGCCACCTGAAAATCTCGGCCCTCGAGGCCGAGGCCCTTTCCGCAGCGCCTCGTGCATGGGGGGCCGAGGAGGCGAGAGCGCGAGAGGCGGGAGGCCAACTGAAATCTCGGCCCTCGAGGCCGAGGCCCTTTCCGCAGCGCCTCGCGCACAGGGGGCCGAGGAGGCGAGAGCGCGAGAGGAGGCGAGGGGCCAACTGAAATCTCGGCCCTCGAGGCCGAGGCCCTCTCTGCAGCGCCTCGTGGATAGGGGGCCGAGGAAGAGTGAGAGTGAGAGGTTGTGGTTGGCGGCGCGCACAAGGTGGAAAGGAGGGGGGGCAGGCTCCTCTTAGAAGGAGGCTGCGGCTGCTTCTTAGAGAGGCCCTGGCCCTGTGTCTACAGAGAAGGCCCGCGCCCTCTTTACTAAGAGGCAGGGGTGCTTCGAAGAAGCGTCCCCCCCAGAGGAAGAACAAAACGGCATAAGCTCCGCGCGGACTTCTTGGATCTGCGCTGGACCCCCCTCCCCCAGCACACGGAGCGCTCCAAGGTCACCGCCGGAGGCGCCGCCGGGGGAGTCACGCGCGGGTCCAAGGAATCCGCGCGGAGCACCAACAGTTTATGTCTATGGCGTTTTTGAAGGGCCCTGGGACACACAGATGAATACGCACAAATAACAGGATTCCCCATATTTTCCCACATCTTCTGGGTGTTTGTCTTCCCCCCCACTTCCCACATCTTCCCCTCCTGAGTTTTGCCTCCTTCGGCTCCCAGGGAGCCGAAGGAGGGGGGTGCAAATCATGGCCGGCGGCATGTGCGCGGCCCAGCGGGGGGACCAGGGACGCAATGAAATAAGCAGAGGCGCCATGAAATCTGGGGAAATATCATGGCCCCCGCCATGATATCCACCACCCTCTTTGCCGCCCCCGAGCCCGGCTGCCCCCCCCTCCGGCACCGCAGGCAGTAACGGAGTGGCGAGGGGTAGGCGCAGGGACGACCCAGGAGGAGGAGGAGGAGGAGGAGGAGGAGGAGGAGGAGGAGGAGGAGGAGGGGGAGAGGAGGAGGAGGAGGAGTAGGAGGAGGAGGAGGAGGAGGAGGAGGAGGGAGGAGGAGGAGGAGGAGGAGGAGGAGGAGGAGAGGTGGAGGAGGAGGAGGAGGAGGAGGAGAGAGCAGGAGGAGGAGGAGGAGGAGGAGGAGGAGGAGGAGGAGGAGGAGGAGGAGGGGGCCGACAGGGCGGGGCCACAGGGCGGTCGCGCCAGCCACAGCAGCGCGGGCCCGGCCAAGAGAGGTCCGAGAGGCGAGGGCCGTGAGCCCGAAGGCCCGGCGCGCGCCGCGGGGAGGTCGCGCGCGCCCGGGGGGCGGGCCTCCTCGGAGAGGGCACGGACAGGGCGGAGGACGCCACGAACATTAGAGGGCCACATGCGAACCCTACCCCTACCCCCCGCGATTTCTGAGGGGGAGGGTGGGGTTCACTTCGCTCGGAAGCTCCCGAGCTTCGTTCCTGAGAGGCGCCGCCCTCCGAGAGGGCCTGCCCGCCCGCGCTAGCCCCTCGGTGCGCCGCCGCGTTTTACTGCTACGAGCGCCGTCAAAGTCCCCAGTTCAAACGGTTCGACCATCGTCGGGGAGGCGCAAGAACTCGGGGAGGTTTAGCACGAGCCAGCTCCATCTAGACCTGAAGAGGGTTGAGGAGGGGCTCTCTGAAACCAGCCCGACCTCAGCGCCTCGGAGGCGCTGGGCCTCCCCCTCCTCATCCTCCTCGCCTCATCCTCCTCCCTCTTCCCTGCTCCCTCCCTTATTTCCCTGCTCTCAAACTGATGATGTTCCTCACTTCTGCGTCCTCCATTCTCCCCGTCCGACCTCGTTATCCCTGCTGTTCCTCATCATCACGGTCCGCCTCCGCCTCCGCCTCCGCCTCCGCTTCCCCCTCCTCCTCCACCTTCCCCTCCTCCTGATCCTCGTCATCATCGTCATAATCAGCAGCAACATCATCCTCATATTGATCTTCGTCCTCGCCGCCATCCTCATCATCCTCATCTTCATCCTCATCCACATCCTCAACACCCTCATCCTCCTCGTCCTCCTCATCGTCATCATCACCATCATCATCACCACCACCACAACCGCCACCACCACCACCACCACCATCATCATCATCGTCATCAGCATCATCATCATCATCAGCATCATCACCAGCATCATCATCATCAGCATCATCATAATCAGCATCAGCATCAGCATCATCATCATTATCATCATGATCCTGATCCTGATCCTCATCCTCCACCTGATCCTCCTCCTCCGCCTCATCATCACCATCACCAGATCCACAACCATCATCAGCCATCCTCCTCCTCCTCCGCCTCAGCATCATCATCATCATCATCATCATCATCATCATCATCATCATCATCATCATCATCATCAGCATCAGCATCAGCAGCAGCAGCAGCATCGTCTTCAGCAGCATCATCAGCATCAGCATCAGCATCAGCATCAGCATCAGCATCAGCATCATTATCAACTTTACCACCATCATCATCAGCAGCGTGAGCATAATCATCATCAGCATGTATCATCATCCTCGTCAGCATCAGCATCATCATTGGCATCATCAGCATCATCATAATCAGCAGCATCATCATCATCATCATCATCATCATCATCATCATCATCATCAGCATCTGCATCACCGGTATCGTCACCCCCTCCATTTTTTATGACAAGCATCGGCAAACAGCGTACCGTACGATGCAGGCAGCAGCAATGATGGCAGCTCCGCGAGTAAACACAGTACATGGTATCCAACTCCCTCATGCGGCGGCTGGTCGGCGAGTAATGGCACAACATCGCCTTATCGGATGGAACCTAAATGTTGTGCTCGGGGTCCCGCTTGGAGGAAGTCGCTCTGGAAACTCAAAATGATGGCATTCTCATCTTGGCTGGGACCCAAACGCAAGATCGTCGACAACAAGACTGAGGAAGTCTCGGACCTCGTCGCCAAGTGGCAGGAAGCTTAGTCGTGGAGTCCCCCATGTGAACCTGGCTCTCCGCTGAGAAACTCTAGCTGTGGCTGTTCGGTTATATAGTGGCGATGGGGCGCAAAATCGGCCTATTCACCAAGTCTTGCCCTCCCCAACGGAAGCCGAGGGTAGAGCATCGGGGGCACGTATCTAGCGAGGAAGGTAAGACGTCTGCGCTGTCTCCCTCCACTTCCCGCCCTGGCGTTCCCGTTTGTCTCAGAGACCCTTTCTACAGTGGAGGCCCGTGCCAAGAAAGGCCTGCTGATCTCCTCCTCCTCCTCCTCCTCCTCCTCCTCCTCCTCCTCCTCCTCCTCCTCCTCCTCCTCCTCCTCCTCCTCCTCCTCTATCTCTATCTCTATCTCTATCTCCTCCTCCTCCTCCTCCTCCTTCTCCTCCTTCTCCTCCTCCTAGGGCGTGCGTAGCTCCCTGCCTTGTTGGGTGTACGCCCTTCCCTTCTTGTGGTGGCACAGCGATGGACCGTGCATGCCACCCGGCTGCAAGGTCGAAGCTGAAACGTCGGTCATGAGCTTCCCTGACGTTAGATGCTCATTCTGGGGACCTTCCTGGAGCCACTCGCTCCACTCGTGCGTCGAAGCTGCGTCGAACCTGAGTCGAACCTGAGTCGAACATGAGTCGAACCTGAGTCGAATCTGAGTCGAACCTGAGTCGAACCTGAGTCGAACTTGAGTCGAACCTGAGTCGAACAGACCCATTAGGTGGCCCCCAGGAAGGTCCCCAAAACGAGTATCGAACTGACCAAATGCGATCACCTACCTAAGCCGTGTGACGTCATCCTGTAAGAATATCGAGGGCCCGTCGGAAGAGCAGGAAAAACGGAAGCTGGATATCGATAAGAGGATCCAGAATCGCAGTTTGGCCCTGTAGGCCGCCAAGTCATAACTGGAACGTGCGCCACTACCATGGCTAAAAGATTACGGGTCCCCACGCGAAGTGTTCAAGACCATCGGAACCAGTCTTCTCACAGCGGGCCAACAAGTACTCGGATCGGGCGTTGCTCACGATGGGAAACGTCGATTACGTGGTCAGGAGCGTCGTCGACTGCTACGACACAGGCTAGAACTGAGAGGAGCGAAGAGGAACGCGCAGCTCCAGAAAATCCCGGACCTAGACACAAAGCTGGAACGCCTGGAGGAGGAGGAGGAGGAGGAGGAGGAGGAGGAGGAGGAGGAGGAGGATTCTTAAGGACTCAAGCGTGTTCGCCGCCGACAGGCACGGGAACATATAGATCCCAACTCGCATCCGGAGCTCACGCACCTTGGAGCCAGTGCCGACCAGCCGAAGCGGTGCGCCTCACAACTCACAGCACGAGCTCTGGCACGGATTGGACAAATAAATCGGGACGGCCTGCTGGTGGAAGGAGCTCCCCAAAAACCGCTCAGGTTTGGACACCGGGAGTAAGGAGGGCTACAGGTGGAATGGCCGTGGTGCGGCATGATTGAGGTGAGCGGCGTGGCCAACGTCGGGAACAATTTCTCTGGACATCATGTCCATACGTCCATGAACTAGCCCAGGAGGAACGTGGTCGTATCATTCGGTATGTTTGTAGAGCAGCACGTTGTCGAGCGGTCCCCTCTTTCTCAGCCCCCTTGGAGCTATGGCATACGATGCTAATGCCTGGCCGTCGTATGCGCGCCCACGATCAGCAGCAGGGACTGGGAGCTGTTACTACCAGGCCGCATCCGGACGCTTTCCAGTGGCTCTTCTCGGTGATCCTGAGTAGAATGCGTACGGATAGTATCACACCACTGTACTGGCATAGGACGGAGAGAGCGGGCATCAAGAAGGCTCACAGCCTTGCAAGTCCCAAAGGCCATCATGTCGTTCAAGTTATGGCAGCAGTGGGTAGGGCTTCCTACGCGTCTCTGCGTACCCCACCCCCCACCTGATGAGACCACGGCTCTTTCAATATATTTGGAGGCTTGGGAATCGGCACCATCACCAGCACAGGGGGTTTGCCTCGACAGGGAGATTCTGATCCTCGATTTCGGTGTTGGTGGTAATCTTTCGGCCTCCTAGAAGTCCGAAATATTACCACCATCATCGAGATCAGGATCATATTCCCTCGGTGGAGGCACACCGCCGATATTGGTGTTGGTGTCAACCTCCAGGCCTCCGATATCTAGAGAAGAGAGGATGCAGCATTGGCAGCTCTATCTACGAATTGTAGGATGAGGAAGGCAGGCTGGACACGCGCACTCGCTCTTCAAGATGTGGCTGACGCCATCGGGAGACCGGAAGGAGGTAGGCGAGACCGTTAGGATGTGTGCCGCGGATTTGGACGCCCGAAATGGGTACGGAAAGAATGGCACTATGCCCAACAACAAATGTTGTCCCAAGCCAACAGCGGCCGCTGTTGGGCAGGCGGCCTCCTGTCTCGAATAGACACAGGCCCCGGCGGCGTGGACAGCGAATCCTGTTCAAAATGAACAGGAATTGTTGTTGGGCATTGTACCCATTCTTTCAGTACCCATTTCGGGCGTCCAGAGCGGAGCACGACCAAGAGCTCTGGCGGCAGAGGTATCGGAACGCGGTCAGCAGTCTGAAGGGCCCCCTGCTTGTCAAACCAGAGGTAGGCAACAACGCTATGGGGGACCCGTTTGCGGTTAGAGCTTTCGTGGGAACGCTTGCACGCCCCATCTTCCAGTGGCAGTATTACCAGCAGGGGGCAGATCCTTAATCCCGCCTTCTTCGTTCGAGCTGGAAGTCACTAAAGGCGGACCTTTCGTAATTCAATGACGCTGATGACATGGTCAAGGTCGTTAACACGAATCCAGAGATGTCCTCTGCAAAATCCAGGTCAAAGCTCATTGCGGTTGTCAAAAGCCGGAATCTGAATTTGCAGTCCTACGGCTATGGGCAGCATGTAACCAGGCAAGGATGGTTAATGCATTTATCACGTAAGGGTTACATATGCAAGCAACTACTTCGAGCAGTATATGTACCACGACACCCAAGTGGTGTTGAAGTTTGACTCAATGGGAGGGATAAGATGAAGTACGCTGCCTCGGGCCATGATTAGCAATGGGGGAGTCTGCACGCAGTGAAATATATCGACGTTGTTCGGCTGCTCGTGGCAGGTTCGCCTCCTTGGGAGGAGCTTGGGGCCTTGGAGTACCGTGGCTGTGGAAACGCAGTCTCTTCATCGGTGTCGTTAAAAACTCGCACCTTAGATGCCTCGAGAGTTTCATGCTTTGCAGGACTGGCAGGAACATGTTCGACAATTGTCTGGCTAGCCTGGGGTGGTGATGACGGGGGAAGCGGACAACCACGATGGACCACACGAGAAGGTGCTTCGTAATAAACACATGGTGGCACGTGTGGGACTTCTCCCGACGGGAATTGGTATACTCATGCGCAGGGTTACGTATACAGATATATATATATATATATATATGTCGTACCTGGAGTAAGTCGTCCGATGATCACGGGCAGGTGCTTTGCGCTTTGCTCGGCGGTGCCGACGTGAAACGGCTGAGGCCGCAGATCATCGGGGGTGAACCGTCAGTGGGCATCTCCCTGGACCCGACAGGTGGCAGCCGAACTAAACATACGAAGTCGGCGTTTTCCAAACGAGGGCATAAGGCGTATAGCGGAGGATGTACGTTTGCTTGTCGACAAGGATGAAGCTGAGGGGCTCGTGCGTCACCCGACGACTGCTCTCCCAGGAGTAGTCGGCTACCCCCTGGGAGTAGGGAGTAGTCGGCTACTCCCCTGGGTAATCGACGATTCCCCTCGTCTGTTCCCCCGGGGAACCCATCGACTACTCACGCAGGAGCAATCGACGGGGAATACTCGACTACCCCCCTAGGAGTAGGGAGCAGTCGGCTACTCCCCTGGGAGTACGCGGCTACCTCCCGCGGAGGAGTCGACTGCTCACCTACGCGTAGTCGACCACCCAGCTTGGAGTAGTCGACCACGTTCCTGCGCGAAGTCGAGTACTCCCCTGAAGGTGAAGAATAGTCGACTACCCACCTGGGAAAAGTCGACTGGTCCCCTGCGGCTAGTCGACAAGCCGCCTGGGAGTGAGTAGTCGACTACCCACCTGGGAGTAATCGACTACCGTCCTGGGAGAAGTCGACTTCTCACCCGGGAATCGTCGACTACTCTGGGGGGGGCCATTACGTGCGTATTGGTATTACTGGACTTCGGAGCGCCTCGCTCTCGGTCCAGATCCCACCACCAAAGTTTCGACCTGCTCCCGTGGAGTGTCGCCTAGAAGATGCCCCAGAGGCTCCCGCACCCGTTGAGCTACTCTTCGTTCCGCACCCGTTGAGCTAATCTTCGTATATGGATTGGGAAAAGGGGTCCCATGTTTTTGCGCTTTTGTTACGCTCAAGGGCGTATTTGAGCACATTCGGCATCACCATCATCTTCGGAGTTGGATGCATATATTGGCCCTACCAACATCTGTTCACTGCCAGCAAATACTCTCTGCGCACCTTACCGCTTCCAAGCGCGTAGTTAGCCCGATGTACCGCGGGCATTGCATTGCGAGAGGTCCCCGCTCACTGGCACCACTGCGCACGCCCTCCTCCTGCGATTGCCCTGCATGCGAGCATGAACAGCCCGACGTCGCCACTCGCTGCCGCCAATCGATCGAACACATTCCTGCCCCTTCGCTACCGCTCAAGCCGCGTGATGCCAGCGTGATGCCAGAGGATATTAAAGGGGCCCCAGGACACACAAACGGATGCACACAACGGAAACTGCGCCCCATATTTCCCACACGTTCTGGGCTCTTGTCTTCCCCCCCCTCCACACCTCCCATGTTCTCCCCTATGTTCTGGGGAGTCGACGATGACTTGTGTCTGCGTGTTTTTTCCTTCCCCTCCTGAACTATGGAAGTCGGCCAGCTCGCGGCGCCTCCGCCCCGGCTGACGCGGGCGCGGAGGCACGAAGACCGACGCCCCCCCCCGGCGGCTGCAGCCGCGGGGGGGGGGGGGGGGCGTCTATGTTTCCCATATGTTCTGGGTTCTTGTCTTCCCCTACCATGTCCTTCAGTTCCCCTACGTGTTCCCCCCCATTTCCTCCTGTTTCCCACACTTTCTTCGGAGTCGACGATGAGTTCTGCCTGTGTGTTTTCTCCCCCTCCTGAGCCGTGGAAGTCGGCCAGCTCGCGGCGCCTCCGCCCCGGCCGACGCGGGCGCGGAGGCGCAAAGACCGACGCCCCCCCCGGCGGCTGCCGCCGCGGGGGGGGGGGTGCCGCGAGGGAGACCGAGCTGGGGCGCGGGCGAAGGGCGAGGCGCAGAGGGCAGAAGATCCAGCCACATCGCAGCCACTCCTCCTCCTCCTCCTCCTCCTCCTCCTCCTCCCCTCCTCCTCCTCCTCCTCCTCCCTCCTCCTCTCCTCCTCCCCTCCTCCTCCTCCTCCTCCCTCCTTCCTCATCCTCCTCCGTCGGGTCGTGAGCGGGCCCCTTCTGTCAAGAGCTAAACGGGGCGCGGGTAGCCCTAACTGGGGAGGCAGGGCGCGGGCGGGCGGGGCCTCAGGCGGCCGGAGGGCTCCGAAAACAGGCGGCGCCGAAGATCTTGCACGGGACAAGGTGCGCCATGGACTGGAGCAGGGGGCGCGGTGCCACAGGGGTAACCACCCCGGCACGCGAAGCCGTGTAGCAGACGCACCCAGGGAAGGAACCGACGAGAGCAGGGCTGTTCGGCAAACGCCGAGGGCCGTCTAGGAAACGTGAATCGTCGGGTCTGGGTGGTCCCTTCCTCCTCCCTCCTCCTCCTCCTCCTCCCCGCCTCCTCCTTCCCCCTCCTCCTCCTACCCTCCTCCTCCTCCTCCTCCTCCTCCTCCTCCTCCTCCTCTCCTCCTCCCCTCCTCCTCCTCCTCCTCCTCCTCCTCTCCTCCTCCCTCCTCCCCCCTCCCTCCCCCTCCTCTCCTTCCTCCTCCTCCTCCTCCTCCTCCTCCTCCTCCTCCTCCTCCTCCTCCTCCTCCTCCTCCCCCTGGAGCAGAGCGGCAAGGCCATGGCCACAACGGCTCGTCTGGTCGTCAGCACGGCCACGGGGGCTGCGGAGCTCTCGCCGGCGTGCCTTCGGCTCGCGCTCGGCATCGGGCAGGGCGGCGTGGAGGAGGCGCTCGCGGCCGGTGACGCACACGACGAAGAGACCAAGAAGCTGCACACCATGGGAGGCACAAGGACATACTAGTACTATATGTTCTCCTTGGAGGCGCGCGTCCGACCCAAACATATAGTATACCTATCTTGTAGTATATCGTTTCCCGAGCGGTGTGGCCAGAAAGCGCCCGCCACGACGCATATACTATAAGATTTCTCGGTGCGCGCGTCGCCCCTGAGGGGGCGACGCACATATAGTATAAGTATGTTGGGGTGCCGAAGGGCGAGACAGTCAACCATCGCACTGGGAGCCCTCCGCATCTCTGTATCCTGCTGGCGGTGTGCTACCACGGAGTGACGAAGGCGGTTCCAGAGGGCGACTCGGAGCGGAGGAAACAGGACCTCGCCATCTCGAAGCAGAGCATGAACGACATGTGGCAGGATAATTAAGTTATGCAGCATCAGCCAGTCCGAGCTGAAATGGGCAATCAGCTACTTCCGCGTGCGCCCTCAGAAGAAGAAGGAGTCAGAAGAGCAGCTGGCGACGGTCGCTCTGAGGGAACAAACGAGGAGGCATCGTGATCAAAACTGTACCCGAATCTCTGCCCGGGTATGACCGAAACTTGCACCCGACAATTTCCGACCGCGCCCCGGTGTGACCAAAATGTTTGGCTCTAAGCCAAGACGATCTTCAACTTCGGTCGCATTTTTGGTCACACAACGTTTTCGGTCACAACTTCGGGCACGTTTTCGGTCACCGACTTTTTTCGGTCACCCGCCTTTTCGGCTGATGAGGGGCGGGGTGCCATGACAATTCGGAGGTTCGTGCGGTCTTGGATCGGCGATGGACCCCCCTCCCTAACGCGCAAAGCCCGCCAGGGGGCCCCAGTGCCGATACTGGGAATCCGCGCGGACCTCCGAGCTGTTTTATGTTTTCAGTGGAGGCCCGACCACAAGAAACCTTTCACAAGAAGCCCAACCCTGAGACCCCAGGCCGTCCACTGATCTCTGGTGGGGGAACGCCACGCTTTCCGTGGCCAAACCCTCGAAACCCACGAAACCCAGGGCACCCTGGAGGCGAGCAGGGTGTTCCTTGTGCGGGCAATACTTCTGTCCATATCCACTGCAGTATGGAGCTTCGGGCTCCCTTCCCAAGAAACCCGAGGCGCACTGGATATGGATAAATTTGCCCCTAGAGGCTCGATTTTTATCCATATCCAGTGCGCCTCGGCCTTGTGGCACCGCTTCCAAAAAAGTCCAAGAGGCACTGGATATGACATGAATCTTGCTCGCACCTTGGCATGGGCCTCCACGGCATGGCTTTGTCTGTTGCCAGGCGTGCGGAAGCACGGCACCGTGGTTGACTACCTACCAGACCACCCCAACCCAACCCGAAGACCCGAATTTCGGGTTGGGGGGGGTAAAGGGTTCCACATCTGTGTTTTCGATGTTTCCCGACCCCCCCCCCCACTGGAAATCGAGGGGGTAAATCTGAGCCTTCGGGTTGGGTTGGGGTGGTTTGGTGGGTGGTGAGTGGCGGGGCCCGGCGCGGCGCTCAGGCCCGAGGGTCGAGGAGCTCATGCCGTCTCGGAGGGCGGGGCCCCACTCACGGGGGGGCGCGCCGAGGGTCCCGCGGGAGCGGGACCCAGGAGGAGGAGGAGGAGGAGGAGGAGGAGGAGGAGGAGGAGGAAGGGGGAGAGGAGGAGGAGGAGGAGGAGGAGGAGGGAGGAGAGGGGGAGAGGAGATAAGGAGAGATTATGAGGAGGCGAGGAGGGGAGGAGAGGAGAGGAGGAGGAGAGGAGGAGACAGCGGGAGGAGGAGGAGGGAGGATCATGAGCAGCAGAGGATGGTCGCGAGCGCTTCTATGAGGGGCAGCGATAAGGGGGGGGCTGGCACAGTGGGGGAAACATCGACCTGGAATCGGCGATGCATCGCCGAGCCGATAGATCGGCGACAGGCCCCCGATAGCGAATCCGCACTTTTCCTGGGCGGGGAGGAGCTGTCAGACCCCCATCGGCGATCCATGGGCGATTAGGGGCCGATGCATCCCCCCCCCATGCCTATCGCCCCCTGTCGTTGCCCATGAGCTTGGCGCTACGAATCAGTCAGTGCCACACTCCACCGTCTAAAGAAGAGAATCGCGAGAGGCAGTCTCGCCAGGCCAGCAGCCTCGGGCCCGAAGTTCCCAGAGCTGCAGCGTAGCCGGGGCAGAGGCCGAGGGAACGGTCGCGGTGGGAATGCTGGCCGTCGTCCGGTCGGTCGTGGGAGGGTGGGATGAGGATTCTCTCCTGCGTCTATATCGGTGCCTGTGTGTGGGGCCGCGTGCCTCCATAGGGTCACCGTCGGTCTGTGCAGTCCTGTGCAGCGTGCGACAGTCGCTGCACAGCTAGGCTGGAGTTCGGAGCAGGCAGGCCATTTTTCTGTGGCCTCCCCTCGGAGTACGGGAATCTTGTGCAGGAGCGCATGTAGCAGAGCACCGAATGGCAGGGACTCCATGAGCTGGTCTTGGTCATGCTTCTCCTCCTCCTCCTCCTCCCCCTCCTCCTCCTCCTCCTCCTCCTGCTCCTCCTCCCTCCTCCTCCTCCTCCTCCTCCTCCTCTCCTCCTCCTCCCTCCTCCTCCTCTTCTCCTCCTCACGATTACTCAATATGAATACTACTCCCTCTTCCCCTGATGACGGCCTGAGAGTGTCCGACCCCCCCCCCCCGCGTACTGTTTTTTTGCACACAGGTTTCCCCGGAGTTGGGTTTTCGCCTGCATTTTTTTCAAAATGCTGCTCTCGCTGAGGCGCCGGCCTCATTTTCGGGCCCCGCTCGTTCCGAATCGTGCTCCCGTGCAAGCGCTGGCCTCATTTCCGTGCTTCCGCTCGTTCCGAATCGTGCTCCCGCTGCAGCGCTGGCCTCATTTCCGCGCTTCCGCTCGTTTCGACTCGTGCTCCCGCTGCAGCGCTGGCGTCATTTCCTGTGCCATGCCACGGCATGCAATGCAATGCTAGGTTGATACTACGCTTTGCGGTGCTCTTCTACGCCATGCCATGCCGTGCTCTACAATGCATCGCGTACCCTTTCGGGATCATTGCCCTGCTCGACATCCGACTGTGCGAGTAGAGAGGGGATCTGCGCCATGGTAAGGATGGGAGGGAGGGGTAGGATGTCAGATATGACGCGAGCGCACCTAGCTTGTCCTCCTCCTCCTCCTCTTCCTCCTCCTCCTCCTCCTCCCACCTTAAAGCAGAGAACGTATGCCCTGACTGCATGCAGAAGGCGCATCTAAATCGCTTAAAAAGCGCGAGCGCGAACGTACGCAACTAGCAAAGCGAGAGCGTTAAACGCAATCCGGGAAAAGACAAGGGCAGGAGATGCTGCTGGATGAGGAAGACCGGGAGACAAACATTGCCGCAGACGGGTGCCGTGTCTGCCCCCCTCCTCGTCGTCGCCGCCGCCGTCGCCCTTGTGGCGGTCGTCGTCGCCCTCCTCCCCTCCAGCCCCAGCCAGTTCTGGCATGGCGGAGCCCCTTGAAAACCATGGCTCAGAAGCTGGCAGCCTCCATCAAACCGCTCGGCTGCTGGATGCGGAGGCCCCGGGCCCTGGGCCTTCGAGGACCAAGGCTCTCGGAGAAGCCGATCGCCCTCCGAAGGGGGCCTCCCTTGATGGGCCTGTTTGCCACAGGCTAACTGTGGGCCTCCATGAGTCCACAATGCCGCCGGAAACGCCTGCCCACGGTGCTGGCTGCCGTGCCGTCCCATCCCTTCCGAGAGCTTGCGGAACTATTGTTTTCTTGCCGTAAGATTCCCTTCCCACCGGTCCTGTCCTTCATCGCTCCACGGGGCGAGCACAGTCCAGGGCCCCGCCAACCGCGCCGGCCGCGAGGCCAGCGTTCACCGGCTGTCTCAAGCTAAGCCCGCCTGGGATCAACCATCGTACGCCGCGTCCTACGATTTCCGAGCGAGCGCGCGCGACTTGCGGTCAGCACTCGCGGGCCACGATCACCGAGCACTGCGGTGCACGATCCCCGTCATGATCGGCTGCGCCTTCCCCATGAGATCGTGAGCGCCGTTCGGGATTGCTGAAGGGGCCCTGGGACACGCAAATAAAGACACACAACTAAACAGATTCCCCATATGTTCCCCATATTTTCTGGGCTGCTGTCTTCCCCCCTATTTTCCCATATTTTCCCATATTTTCCCATATTCTCTGGGGAATCGACGACTCATTGTGTCTGTGTGTTTTTTCCCCTCCTGAACTGCACAGGGCAGCGGCGCCTCGAGCGAGGCGCCCTCGGGCGACAGCTGCCACGACCCTCCCGCTGGCGCCCGGCCTCGTGGAGGGCCGGCCTTGCCCCGCGCGCCGCCGAGCTCGCCGACAGTGACTACCTACCAGACCACCCCAACCCAACCCGAAGACCCCAATTTCGGGTTGGGGGGGGTAAGGGTTTCATATGTGTTTTTTCGATGTTCCCCGACCGCCCCCCCACTGGAAATGGAGGGCAAATTGAGGCCTTCGGGTTGGGTTGGGGTGGTTTGGTAGGTGGTGAGACAGACTCCGCGGCCACCGCGCTCCTCCTCTTGGGCCCCGGGAGATCAGAAGCCCGAGTCGCCGAAGCACAGCCAGGGGGCCACGTGCGAACCCCACCCCTGCCCCCCACGATTTCTGAGGGGGAGGGGTTCATCCTGATCTTCATCCTGAATCGTCGTCTGACAGTCCCAGGGCCCGCGGAGGTCCCCCGAAGCCCCAGAACGGCTGAAAAAACTCGGGGCCCGTGGTCCCCGAGGACCCCTCTCTAGGGGGCCACATGCGAACCCTACCCCTACCCCCCACGATTTCTGAGGGGGAGGGTGGGGTCCATCCCATCCGGGAGCTCCCGAACGCAGTGAGCCCCGCCCTCCCCCTCAGAAATCGTGGGGGGTAGGGGCAGGGTTCGCACGGGGCCCCCTAGCAGCGAGCGCACCGACCTTGCCGCCGACCTCGCGGCCGTTCTGTTGCCTCCTCGGGGGACCTCGTCTGTCCCGTCGCGGCCCTGTCCGCGTCGCATCCGTGTCAGACGCGTCGGGTCCGTGCCGAATCCGCGTCGAATCCGCGCCGAATCCGCGCCGAATCCGCGTCGAGCCCGCATCGAGCACGCGTCGGGGCCCCCTTAGCAGCGAGCGCACCGACCTCGCCGCCGACCCCGCGGCCGCGCTCGTGGCCGACCACCGCCGCCCGAGGAGCAGAGGGCCGGGGCGCCGCGTCGTGCAGCGCGGGCCCCCGGGGAACCAAGGGCGCCTTTGCGCTGGACTCCGGGCGCGAGCTCTCTCCCGCTCGCGACGCGCGCCGGCGCGATGCTGCGGCGTGCCACCTCCTTCTCCTCCTCCTCCTCCTCCTCCTCCTCCTCCTCCTCCTCCTCCTCCTCCTCCTCCTCCTCCTCCTTCCTCCTCCTCCTCTTCCTCCTCCTCCCTCCTCCTCCTCCTCCTCCTCCTCCTCCTCCTCCTCCTCCTCCTCCTCCTCCTCCTCCTTCCTCCTCCTCCTCCTCCTCCTCCTCCCTCCTCCTCCCCCTTCTCCCCTCCTCCCTCCTCCTCCTCCTCCTTCTGCTTCTCCTCCTCCCCCTCCTCCTCCTCGTCAGCAGCAGCAGCATCAGCAGCAGCATCATCATCCTCCTTCGTCCTCTCGGTGGAGGGGACGAGCTTCCACCGAGAGGGGCCCGGCTGCGGCCATCCGCTGCCTGGCGCACGTGGAAAAACGCTCCCTTTGCAGGACTGCGCCCAGGGGCAGGGACGTGTCCGCGCGGTGATCGACGGCACGCCGCACGCCGTCGACCACCGCCCGGACTCATCAGACATGACACCCCGGCCAGCAGCACGGGCAGCACCCACACTCTACGACCGACCGCTGCCCACATGCTCCACAGTACAGTCGGGGGCTTGACCTAAGGAACCCTAAATAAGGAACGAGGCCCCTTTTTTCCATGAGTTAAACTTCGATTTCCCATACAACAACCTAAGGAAAACCCGAGGCAAGCTGCGAAACACGTAAGGAACGCGGAGCCCCTCCCCAACGAAAAGGGTTCCTTCTTCAGGGCCCCGACTGTACGACCGACCGCTGCCCACATGCTCCACAATAATCAATTCACCCCGGCGGCTCATCACAGGCCGCAAAGCATACAGTCGGGGCGTTGACCTAAGGAACCCTAAATAAGGAACGGGGCCCCTTTCTCCCATGAATTAAACTTCGATTTCCCATACAACAACCTAAGGAAAACCCGAGGCAAGCTGCGAAACACGTAAGGAACGCGGAGCCCCCCCCAACGAAAAGGGTTCCTTCCTCAGGGCCCCGACTGTACGAATGACCGCTGCCCACATGCTCCACGGTACTCACTCACCCCGGCGGCCCATCACAGGCCGCCAAGCATATTGCCAGCGCGATGCTGCAGCGTGCCTCCTCCTCCTCCTCCTCCTCCTCCTCCTCCGCCTTCGCCTCCGCCTCCTCCTCCTCCTCCTCCTCCTCCTCCTCCTCCTCCTCCTCCTCCTCCTCCTCCTCCTCCTCCATCATTCACCCCGGCGGCTCATCACAGGCCGCCAAGCAGATTGCCAAATGCATTCTGCAGCGTTCTGGTCCCGCGGCGGCCAGGGCGGCAGGCCGGGGAAGCAGAGGCGCCACCGTCGGGCGGAAGGGGCAGGCCTGCTGCGCGCTCATGGCCTTGGCTCCTTCTTACGTACAGTCGAGGCGTTGACCTAGGGAACCCTAAATAAGGAACGAGGCCCCACTTTTCCACAACTGAAACTTCGATTCCCCATCGAAAACATAAGGAAAACCTGAGGCAAGCTGCGAAGCACTCAAGAAACACCGAGCCCCTCCCCAACGAAAAGGGTTCCTTCTTCAGCGCCCCGACTGTATGCCCTGAGCGTTTTTTCTACCGTCTTAAAATCAGCGTGTTGGGAATCACTCGTTTAACGCTTCTTGGTCCCAGCGAAACATGAAAACGCTAAACAAAAATAACGAAACCTGTGTTGTTGCGTCCTGCTCTTCTCTTGCAAGCAGGGCAACTCGCTCTTCGGTCGCCCCGAAGTGCTTGACCGCTGGTGCAATGTACCTCTGCCTCGCCGCCGGCGGAAAAGCTGTTGCGTTCTGAGCTCCGCTTCCGTTCTTTAGCGCTTTCGGATCAGTTGATTGCGCTGTATCACACTGCCGTCTACCACGTCCTCAGTTCCTTCTCCCTGCGTCCAATCCTCCCTGCATTTGTCTCATGATCATGTTGCCCTTCTCTGGTCGCCGCTGCTGGCTGGTCGTGGGGCCTCCGGGACTGCTCCGCGCCGGTGTCAGACTGGTGTTAGGGCATCTGTGGGGCGTTTTTAGCTCTGCGCTCTTCGCGCAGAGCGGGAGAGATGGGAGGCGGCAGGAACAGGAGAGCGGGAGCGAAGAAGGCAGTGAAGACAAGGAGCAGCCTGTGACAGGAGAGCAAAAAACGCTAAAATAAGAAAGATCCACAGCGACATGCCTGAAAACGCTACATAGCAAAACACGCTGAACAAACGTAGCGCTTCTTGGGGCGCTGTAAGCTTGTCCAGGAGTCAAAATGCAAAACGGTATGTACTCTATTGTTCCACTAGCACACATACACCCACCCACCCACCCACCCACCCACCCACCCACACACAAACAAACAAACAAACAAACAAACAAACAAACAACACACACACACACACAAAACAAATACAACAAAACGCCCGCATACCTGACCTCTTCCGCATTTCGCCGCCTCTTGCGCTTCTCCTGCTCAGCGCGATGTCCGTGCCCTTCCCCCCTGAAGATCGCAATCAAACCCAATGGGTGTCACACATCTATGGGTGAAGAAAACGGAGCAGAAGGGAGGGCGGAGGAGAAGTGGCAAGATCTGGTTGGACGGGCCAATGGAGACACAGGAGGAAACCAGAAGCCCCCCTAATGACACCAAACGACACAGCCCATTTCTTCGAATGGCCGTGCGCGTGGAACCCGCGGCGAGCACGGGAGGGGGCGCGCCACGCCGAACATGTGCCAGTGCACTGCGCACTGGCAGAGGATCCTAAGGCAGCAGCCACCTAAATCTGGACGCCTCCTCCTCCTCCTCCTCCTCCTCCTCCCTCCTCCTCCTCCTCCTCCTCCTCCTCCTCCTCCTCCTCCTCCTCCTCCTCGTGCGCAGGCCCAGCACGTGTGGCCTTCGCGCAACGGATCCTCAAAGCCCCGCGCACGGCTCGAAAAAGCGAGGCTTCTCCTGGAGAGCCAGCGTCGGCCGGAGCCGTCGACCCCGCCTCCCTGCAGCGTCTCCCAAGCCCGGCCGACCACGGGGCCCCCGACTTCGTGAGGGGTACTGATAGGGGGGAGGAGGAGGAGGAGGAGGAGGAGGAGGAGGAGGAGGAGGAGGAGGAGGAGGAGGCGGGCGGATGGAGATGGATGAGGAGGAGGAGGAGGAGGAGGAGGAGGAGGAGGAGGAGGAGCAGGTGGCACAGGGGGGGGGGGGAACATCGACCTGGAATCGGCGATACATCGCCGACAGATCGGCGATAGGCCCCCGATAGTGAATCCGCACGTTCCTGGGCAGGAGGAGGAGGAGGAGGAGTCATGAGCAGCAGAGGGATGGTCGCGAGCGCTTTTATGAGGGGCAAAAGGGGGAGGGCCTGGCACAGTGGGGGAAACATCGACCTGGAATCGGCGATACATCTTCGATAGATCGGCGATAGGCCCCCGATAGTGAATCCGCACGTTCCTGGGCAGGTTGGGGCTATCGCGACCTCATCGGCGATCAATGGGCGGTTGGGGGTCGATGCGCCCCCCCCTATGCCTATCCCAACCTATCGTTTCCCCCTGACTTGGGCGTCCCAAAACGGTGCGGGGACAGACCATGCCATGCGGTGACCCCGAAAACATCGACTGGGGGCCCCGGGCCCATATGCCTGGGCCGAGACGGGGATTTCCAAAATGCACCGCTACCGCTACTCCCCGGACCTCTCCGGGAGGTGCGTCCTGACCAGAACTGCAGGGCGAATCCAGCAGTTTTCAGTCGGGCATGTCCCCATATACAGGCCGATTTGGGACGAACAATTAAAAATTGTTTTTGAAACTAGAATATTCAAAAATGGTCAAAACAATCTCCCACATACAAGTTTTCACTAGTTTGAATATTCCTCCTGTAGAGGGACAGGCCCGACTTAACAGCAGTGGCCCTCCCAGGAGACACCCCAAAACGGCGACCAGGACAGGAAAGGCAGCGGCGTCGGCGCCCTCTCCCTCCTCCTCTGAGGCGGCGCCCGGCCAAGGCCTCCTCACGGCGCCAGGCTCTCAGAGGGGCCTCTGCTCGCGAGCCCGGAGCTTCAGTGCGAGGCGGGGATTTATCCATATCCACCGCCTGGGAACCGACGTCCTGGTGCCCCAGCGGGCGGTGGGTATGGATATATTTCGACCCCCGGGGGCCCAAATATGTCCATATCCACCGCCTGCCGAGGCTCCGAAAACTGACCCTCCAGGCGGTGGATATGGATCAATTCCCGCCTCGGACTCAGGCGCGCCCCGCCCCCGCGAGCATGTGCCGGCGCAGCTCCGTCGCCGCCGCGGAGAGGTCGAGCGGCACCGCGAAGGGAGGAGGAGGAGGAGGAGGAGGAGGAAGAG